ATTTCGAGGGAGGACAGTTTTGGTTTTGCGAAATCATAGTGTGTAACATTCGTATTGAACCCCCCTAACCCCTAGTTAAAATTCTAAAAATAATTTTTGTTGCACAGCCCCATTAAATGTGTACAACATACAGATTATCTGATTGATTATGCAGAGGGATTATCAAATTTGAGAAAGATTCTGTCAAATATATTAACGACTTCCTTCCAATTTTCACGAAGAAGTCACGGTCAAAGACTTTATTGGAGGTAAGTACACTCTTATATACTTGAAGTGGTTATGGACTAAACGAAAGACTTAAAACTCACATCTTAAAGTATAATGGGACTTCTGATGTTTCCGCAATGCAATCATTACCAAAGTAGATAGGAATATGAACAATGAGAATATCAAAGATGATAGATGCCTTCTCAAAGAAGTAAACATTGGTATGAATCTTTATAATTATGTTTAATCAAACAAAAATCAAAAAGAACTTATTTATTTTATCATGCAATACTAATTGTATATTCATTGACCAATCAGTCAATCAAAATCATGTGGCCAAGGCGCAGTAAAGAGAATTCTTATTGAAACTCTTCTTCTATAGCATTGATTTCATTCCAACTTAATTTAGAAATTCTCAATGCTGAATAAGATTTTACCCTTTGTATTTTATCCTCACCAATATTACTGAAAAGATCGTAAATCTTCCTTGCTCTTTCTATTCTTTTCTCAATTGTGTTTTTCGAAAGGTCGAGCAGAAGTTGTTTTTCAATTTCTTTGAAAAGTTTCCTCTGAGCTCTACGCTCTTTATTAGTTCCCTTATACTCGGTTAACCTTTCTTCAAGTTTTTTTCCAAAAGTAAAGTAGCATTTAATAATTTCTTGATTTACGTTCCCAATACATCCTTTGGCATTAATAATTGCATTGTATAGTTCAGCAAAATTACCCAGGATCGTGGCAGATTGTGGAGTGTTTTCATTTGATGAAGAACTTGGTGCCTTCAACTCCTTGATAAGCTTTATTAACATAGATGATTCTCCTTTCTTAGTTTTTGTTTTTTACTAGAGGTATCTCCACGAGGTCTTTTTCAAGATCTTTCTTGCGTAGATGCTTGCGTTTGGAAAGTATTGTTTTCATCCTCCGATTCATATTCTATATCCATCCTTTCATTATCCTGCGAGTTTCCAGTAGAATTGACCTGGAGTTCTTTCTCCATTCTAGCAGTTACAGATGAAACACCACTCAATGTGGAATCTCGTCTAGAAAACTCTTCAAAAATTTCAACATCTTTATCACAGTTGGGGGAAGGGCACTTGTTTGGTATGGTAATTAAAAGATATTTCTCAATACAAATCTTGTGGAAGACATGACCACACATTGGCTTAATTTCAGGACTTCTTTATCTTTGACAACACTATCTTCAAAATATTTCAAGATATTATATATGAGATTTTTGAGGTTAGTAATTGACATAATGGAATTTTGAAAACAGGTAATCTTTATGGATACCTCTTCAAAATCTAGCTGTTTTTATAATATTAGTAGTTTCATGGGTTATACTATCAATGCCAGCTTTGCTAATAAATTAGTAATTTTGGAGCAATATTTGTCATGAATGGGATTAATTTATTCTCTATGGGTGATCAAGGATGATTTTCATACAACACCATACATTAATTAAATGTTTCTATGGGTGATCTGTTACCTTTGCCAATCATAATATTTGCATAATTTCTCTGATAGGTGGGCCTTCATCCAATGTCAAAAAAAATAAGCTTAATTGTTTTTATACAACAACAATAGATACCTCTCATTTAGACTCTGGGCTTTGTCCATTTGTAAAACAGAGAAGATCCAGTGATCGCATAATATTACATGATATTAGATATTTTTCCTTGCCAAAGTGATCAGTGTAAAGATTCTTTACACACATGTGATTTTTTATGATATTTTGAATAAATCTATTTCCGCGAGTTGGGTATCAAAAGGATTATAATGCTCTCTGTGCACTTCCTTTGAAAGATCATTATTCTTATCAGGATTGGTATCAGAATCAGAAGTGTCACCCTCAGCATAATAAGTTCCAGAATCAAAACAGTCAATCTTATGTCTCATTGCAATTCTACAAAGTAAACTAAGATGTTGGGGCATTGGATTTTGACTACCATGAACTCTAGAAGCATGTTTACTCCCTATTTTTCTCAATCTTTTGGCGGTAATACCATGTGCATTTAAAAATTTGCTAAATGCTCTAATATTGCGTTTTCCATTGTCACTATCAGTGTTGTACATGGGACATGTCCGCCTAATATTGAGCGGACATGGACACTGTCCAAAAATGTCCGCGTAATAATTTGTCATGCGGACGTGTCCGCTCATTTTTTTAAATGTCCCGGACTGTCCGGGACCAGTAGTACAAACCACAAGTTAAATGTGAGAAAATGCCTTTACCACCTTTATTAACTCAACATATTATTAAAACCATATAAAACTAAACCAAAGCAATTCAA